GAAAAAATAGTTATAATATGTTTTCAAAATAAATATAGTTTAATATAGAAATGCAAATAATTATATATATGTCAGTCTATAATATTACTTTTATATAAGATGAACTTATTAAATGCATACATACGGTAAGCTATTTATTTTGATAATTTACTGAGGGTTACATGAATTGAAGGCTTATGAAATATAAAGTTGTATCAAATATTTTGAGCTTAATTTACAGTTAAGCAAATAACAATAAACATTTCAAATATTAAACTAATATAAACTTAAAAAACTCATATGAAAAATAAAATAACAAAAAATGATAGCAATAAAAAACTAACAAAACAAACGTTGCAAAAAAAAAAAAAAAAAAAAATTATTAGCTTCCCGCGCGTAGCGCGGGCCAACTACTAGTATTAAATAAGTTACAGATGATTTGATAATTGCCTAACGTAAGAACTAACTTAAAATTTGAATTATGACAAAGCTGATGGAGGCCTAACATTCAAACTATAAATGTTTCCCAATGACAAAGCCCAAATGAGAGTGATGAGAAAGACAGTAAGTGATTTAAATACAAAATTAACATATATGTACTTTGAGTTGATTGATCTCTATCCAAAACGAAAACCAATCTTACCAAGAAGAGATGAAACAAGAAAAAGCAACACTATCACTATGGTTCTATTAGCAAGGATCAGCGACCAAAGTACTCGTCACTAAAGAATCCTCGTCATTATATCCTCGGCAAGATTGGGGTAACAGTCGGCAAACGGCTTGAACTCATCACCACTAGGCACTAGCAATCGTACTCATATTGGTTATGATAGTAAGCTAGTGAAGGCAGCATGATTGAGGGAATTGTCAAAAATAAGATTCCATCTTAAACAGAAATGTGGAATCCACACTTTAAAAATAAATACAATGGGCTTACTCTAATCCTAATCTATGGACGTTCACCATTAATTAATAATAAAAAGTGTATTGTGTTCTTTTTATAATTAATAAAAACCAACTAGTAATCGTATAAATAAGTAAAATGGAAGTTTTTGTCATGGTCTACCCTTGTCTTGGATCATATGGGGTTGTCGATTCGAAAACATGAACGAGAAAATTAAATAGATTTTATTGTTTATAATCAAAATAAATCATAAGTTCTCTCTGACCATCTGTAAACCATAATAAAAGTACAAAGTTTAAACAGCAAGTTGTTTCCTCTATTAATACAAAAATGGAATCTTAACGACCCACTTGACCATAATTTAAACCATATGCATCTTTACAGTTTCATCTCCCTCAAAACATAAATACCCAATAATTATGTAGTAAACCTAAGTCACCCAAGTTTATATGATCCACCATTTATTTTGGTACTCGCTTCTCTCTTACGAAATTAAAATTTCTTTTATATGCTCTAATGATTTTATCATATCATACATCGCCGGAGATAATATATATTGACGATATCTATCGATGCATCATAATAACTCCACTTTATTGATGTTTTATTAGTACTAAGATCCTATTAATAAAGTAGTTAAACCATTCAACCCTACAAAAACCAAAAGATTATATACTACATTACATATGATAGTGACATATCCAACCAACATCTTCACTGTTTATAATTAATGATGCCAAGTTAAAGAAAAAAGAGAGGTTGAGCGCGTGAGATCTACTCGCGGCTCTCTCCTCTCTCCTCCTTTCTCTTCTTCTGATTACAATCTCTTGCACCGTGTGAGGGGTTCATCCGGCGATTCCGGCGTCGACTAGGCATGACCAAAAGCTAACCTTAACCGTATTTTTAACCGTAACCGGACCGTTTATCAACCGTAACCGAACCGTAACCGTATAAAACGGTTAAAAATTGTAACCGTTAACCGTAAAAGTAAATTAGTTACGGTTAAAAAATAATAATAACCGTAACCGTTAATTAACCGTAACCATAATTAACCGTAATTAATCGTCGGTTAACCGTACGGTTAAACGCTCGGTTAACCGCATATTTAAAATTTTAAAATAAATTATATTATAACTGTATACAATACCCAGATTTAACTAATTCACTATAAATAATTGAAATCAAATATGTTTTTTACTTGTAAAATAAATAATATTTCAAAATTTTTTATCTCCAATATTAATATTATAATAATCATCAAATAACCGTAACCGTATTTAACCGTAACCGTAATTAACCGTAACCGTATATAACCGTAACCGTCTTAACCGTATATATAATGATTAAGGTTATGGTTAAAAAATTATAACCGTTAACCGGTGGTTAATTAACCATAACCGCATTAACCGTAACCGTGGTCATGCCTAGCGTCGACTGAACCCATGGTCCATGGCGCTTCATCCGTAGTCAGTTTCATCCTTACCGGCGAAGTTACCAAATCGAAATCAAGGGAGTCTGTGGTGGGGAGAAGCTTCCGCAAGACACTACCGGTAAAAGCTATGATGGTGGTGTGGCGATGCGGTTAGAAGGAGGAGGTTCTCGACGAGGAACGAGCAAGATTCAGCGGTTAGATCTGGCTGACTGGAGGCGCATGAGGTTTCGTCACGGCCGGCCGTTTGACGGGGGAGGTTAACGGCTGGAAAGGCAAAGCTAAGCCACCGCCGTTGGTTACCTAGATCTACTCGCTACCGCTTTTTCTCTATCATTTCTGAGTTGAGGCTTTCGGATTTGTTTAGATCGGTCTCTTCTTCCTTCTCTTCACGACTCTACGGTGGCGGGATGGTGATGGTCCTGTGTCACCTTCTCCGTTCGGCTCCCGTCTACCTGGCTCGCCGGTGGTCCTGAGCCGGCGAGTATTCGCAGCTTTGTGGGGAGGCGGCTACGATTAGGTTTTCTGATAGTATATTAGGGTTTCTGATTTAAATTGGTTAGCTACCGGTTTAGATTAGTTTTAACCTGGGTCGATTTTGGTTTGGTTATCTAGTTTGGTTTGATGTAATTGGACTGGGCCTTAAGGGGATTAATGTATGGGCCTATTCCGGAAATAGTACATTGGACATATGTTTTTAATAAATTGCAAGCCTTTTACAAAAAAAAAAAAAAAAAAAAAAAAGTTACAATGGAAAAAAAACGATAATGAATCAAAAGTCTTAAATAACGTCAAACCACCATCTGTCAAACACGTGAGGTGCACGTGCGTTGACGGGGACCGTGAGTGAGTCGAAGACTCTCTCTTCGTCAAGCAAGCACGCACAAGCCACAACAACGAAGGCCACGGCACAAAGCCATCGCTCTAATTTAAATTGTTACCCTAATTGCTTCGTTAAATTAAATATTAACAATCCTTAACTATAATTAGTAACCCTCTCGCCATTATCATATTAATTAATAAAACTTACTCATAATCTCTTTCTCTCTCTCTCTCTCTCTCTCAGTTTTCCCCTCTCAACCTTCTTCTCCTCTCAAGAGTTTTTTTCCTTAACCATCAGATTAACTTTTTTTTTTTTTTTTTAATTCGGTTCGGGTTTCATGTACCCTCCTAATTCCTCTAAGTCCACCGCTCCAGACGGCGGCGACGCGGACAACAATCAATATGACTCAGCAGCCGGAGCCACTCGCGATTTCTCCTCTTTTGGCTCTCAAACCCACCATCCTCCGCGGCAGCAGCAACAGCACGATCCCAACGTCGTTGGCCATTACATCTCAGGCGAACCGTCTTCCGTGGGATTCGATTCCGGAGCTTCATCTTCTTCTTTGTTCAGACACAGAAGCTCTCCGGCTGGATTCTACGACCAACATTTTCCAACTGATCCCAACGGTAGCTTTTTGGATTCTTGTATTATTCTCTTACGTAATTTTAATTAGAACTGAATCTAGCCTACGTAATTTTCAGATAACAATAAGCATTTGAATAATTTTCCTTTTATGTGTTAAAAACCTTTTTAAAAAAATATTAGAAAACTTGGTATACCAACATTTATTATAGTTTTATTCTATATTTTTTCACATTATTTCATTTTTAACAGTATTTATCATCAAATAAAAATAAAACTGATTATGTTATATATGACCATAAACGAGTCCTTAAGTAAATTGGTCTAGCTAACGCGTAATTTTGACTTACTGTAATCTTATCTACCATATTTCATGGCAGTCTTGATTTTGTTTCGACGACTTAAAGTTGTAACTTTGGAATATGTTTGGTTTACCTCCATATATAAAGGGATACGACTTTTGTTTTTGTTTTAATTAAAAGAACAATGTGATCTCATCCACCACGTAATTGAAAATCTATTACACATGTTATATATTTTTCAAAATATCTTTTCTAATAGATATTTGGTTTACTTAATAGTTCAATTATTTTTTTTATTTTTTATTTTTGTCAAACACTTAATAGTTCAATCTATCTCTAGATCTTTATATTCCACCAAAAAAAAAATCTCTAGATCTTTATACACACTTTTCACTTTCATTTTCTGGCTGGAGAAATGAACCATTAATTGTTTGTTGATCATAATTAGTCACATATACATTTATATATAGGCATGAATAAAGAAAATACGTATTTCCAATAGAGGCAAGTTGTATATTTTAATAATGTAAAATAGCGTGTAATATAAAAACATGCACTTGCCAAAAGTAATATGTTTATAAAAAAAACGAATCGTAGCAAAAAGAAATTAAAAAAAAAAAGAAAAAAGTATAGTCCTCCTCGTCCACTTGGAAATAAAATAAGAAACCCACTTGCTCTTTTTCTTCTGACAAAGCAGCCATAAGGGCCGACCCTTGCTGACATGGCTTCATCATAGTCACTATGTTTGATTTTTGGATACGCCTACTTGTCATTATATATATTAAGCTTTATTACTATATAGTGTTTGGTTGCATTGCAAGTACTCTTTTTTATTATTATTTTTTTGGCCAATTTGCTCGTCGGTTCATTGTATCCATCCGGTTTACTTTCCCCTGTAATCCATGTGCGATCCCCAAGAAAATTTTACCCCCTCTTGCATTATTATATTATACGTTTTTAGTCATCTTTATAATAATAATAATTGGAATTCGAATAGTGAATATTTCTAAAGATTCTTCTCATGAATCGTTATTCTCTACCAATTTGATGATAAATAAAATATAAGTAGAGAGAGACAAAGGAAGGGGTCCTCGATCGAGTCTTGAATACGACCCATTCTCTTCTTGTATTGTACAGTTATAAAAAATAATCATACTAGTTATTAAAATACTGAGATACATATATAACATAACCCTACATTACTACATTACATTACATCTCTTTCTCTCTCTTTCGATCAAAATTTGTTAATGGATGAGGGAACAGGTTTTTCTCTAGGACGGCCAAACGGAGGATACGGCGGAGGAGGCCAGGGAGGGGGAGGAGGAGGAGGAGAGAGAGGGCCTTCGAGGTTGAAGTCGGAGCTGAGATACTCAGGCGGGAGTAGTAGTCATCAAGAACATAGTTCTCTACCGCGAATCTCTGAGGTCGAAGCGACTGCTGCGGCTATAAACGGTGTCGCATCGAGTAGTATGAGCTTTGGAAATGACCATAGTAACAACTGGGACAACTCGTCTTCTCATATCAGTTTCACCATTGATCAACCGGGAAAACGGTCCAAGAACTCCGACTTTTTCACTTTAGAAACTCAGGTATTATCTATTCGGTTAATCGCCGTTAATGTATGTATTTATATCGTATGCATACTTTTTAGATTAACTTGTTATACAACAAAGTTAATAATTCTTGGATTCTTCTAGGTAAAGGGTGAAAAGAGTGAATATGCCTAAAGTTTAGCTAGTAGTATATATTAATTGTGTAAGCTTATTAGCTGAGAGAAGGTTTATTTATGATTGATCTATATTATAGTGTGTGTCATATAATATGGAATCTATAAATCATTTAGATTCCATAAAGTTAGGATTCCAAGTCGAACTATTGCCGACAAAACTGTTTATGTCACAAGTTCATGAGTGAAAAGGCCAAATTATGCATTTGTTAAATTAACTCTACAGCTGGTTTTGTGTGGTACGTTAAATTAACTCTACAGCTGGTTTTGTGTGCATGTCTATGTTTATTGTTCAAGTAGTCGTATGCAAATAAATGTATTTTTGTGTTGTTTCTTATAACTGATTCAAACAAATTAATAGCCTAAAGAATAGTTATATATGATTGATCTATGTATGCATGTCTCACAAGTTGTATGCTACCTAAAAATATTCTAGTGTGTATCATATAACAACAGAACTCGAAGTTGAAATAAATGCCAATAAGAATGCAATCGTCAAAGTTAATGTGTGCAGAAGCCAAAGTTGAGTGGTTTTGTGTAATACATACATATAAATAGCATGCGGAGGTTTATGATGATTGATTTATGTGTATTGTTCACAAGCCCTTTGTAAACAAATGATTATTGTGTGAACTGTGAAGTTTTCTTCATTGATATATATTTTGGTTAATTTGGTTAAGATGTTTATTTAGTGGTTTCATTAGTTTCATATCAATAATATATATGGTTTTGATTTTTTTTAGTTTAGCATGCCGCAAACATCTCTGGAAATGGCGAGAATGGAGAACTTGATGAACATCCCAGAGGACTCGGTGCCTTGTAGGGTTAGGGCCAAGCGAGGCTTCGCGACTCATCCACGCAGCATCGCTGAAAGGGTTAGTTTTACTCTATTAGTTTGATAAGTTTGATTCCATTATAAGTATATCGCCGCCATGTAAGATAAATTTATTTGGGAAACCAAGAGTATAATTTTTGGTTTATGGTTTTGTCTATTTAGGAGAGAAGAACAAGAATAAGCGGGAAGCTGAAGAAACTACAAGAACTGGTGCCTAATATGGATAAAGTAAGGGATACTAATTAATGTTTTTTTTTCTTGTGTTATTACGGTGTAATTCTTGTTTATAACTTTTGGTTTGAAAATATTGGCAGCAAACGAGCTACGCAGACATGTTGGATTTGGCTGTCGAACATATCAAAGGTCTTCAGCACCAAGTAGAGGTGCGTCCTTATATACTGATCTATATATGTTCTGCAAAATGACATTTTCTGAAAAATGAAGTAAAGGTAGAAATCTTTGTATACGTTGAGAAAATATTACCATAAGGCCATATTATAGAATTTTTATAAACACATTATGGTAATATAGTGGTGCATTATTATGGCCCAATCGTTTCACGAATCAATCTATACTCGAATGGATTTTCTTCCCACTGCGAAAATTACATGACAACAATAAGTTTTGAAGTAAGTACTCTAGGTGATGATCATGTATACATTCAATTGATAAATATTTGTGTCATGCATGTGAGTGAGTCTTAACTAAAATAATGTCATGTTCTCTTTTGTTCTTCTCATAATAGTTGTTAATAAGGTTCATTTAAATTATTTTCAGCTATTAACATAGATTATATTATATAGTTTTGTTTTAAAAAAAGTTTCCATAATTGAAGTAATAATAATACTCTTCTAAACTTTCATAATAAAAGTACTAACATAACTACGTATAATTGATCTACTAAAACATACACATATATATATATATATATATATATATGGTTATATTATATACATATCATTCAGTCAATCAATGCATTGGTCTGCGACATGTTTGAGGTTAGATTCTGAGAGTTACCATAAACTCACATGTCATGTTCTTATTCAAGTATGCACAGCTAGGAAAAAGTAGTCGATATTGAACTTTTTGAGAAACATCAAACCATACATATGGAAAATGGGATTTAAAGAACACAGGTCACAGATGGTGTTTGTTTATTTCACACTTACGTAAGTATATTGTATATTTGTTAAGCGCAGTCACTGGAAAAGGGAATGGAGAGATGTACTTGCGGGGCATGCAAGAAGCGATGATGAAGCATGTCATGATATGTTTCCAAGTATGAGAGATACAATAAAGTATAGAAGCAAAGGAGACGAAGGAACAAGCACCAAATTCAAAAGACAAGAAAGAAACATAGCAAAAGAAAGGGAGTTATATTTTGGGAAGTATAAAGAAAGTGATGATGATGATCGATGGATTATAATGAAGGTGGTTTTGAACCTCTCTCAAAGTCTTGACCCTAATTATAAACTTAATATTCCATCAAATCGATTTTTTCTTCTTTTCTCTTCTTCTTAATTTGTTGGTTAATCTTAGCTAATTAGAGCAACAAAACCCATTTATTTGAGAGTTGAAAGAGAGATGTGCGTTTGTGTGTGTATATAGCAACTCAATCCTAAGTTTTGATATGTGAATTGAATGAACTCAAAGAAACCGAATATCATATGATCATTAACCTTTAATTGAACCAAATATCATATTTTGAAGAAGAAGTAAGAATATCAACATTTTTCCTTTTTAATATCAGTGAAAACCCAATTTACACTTACCATTTTTATTTTTTCTTGTGAAGAAATTTAAATGTCTTTTCTTTAACAATTTCAGATCAGTTATATAAAACAAAAAAAGGAAATAAATTTAGATTTGGGATTGTTTTAGTTTTCTTAGAAGAAATATACTTTTGTTAATGATGGAATATAATTTCATGCGCAAAAAAAGAAAAAGAAAAAAGAAAAACATTGATTGAGCTCACAATTCACAAAAACAAGCAAATAAAGCCAAACAAAAGACTCCATTAATCACTCTCTCCTCTTAACAAAGCGTTACAGAGAAAGACACGATCGAGAAATGTCGGACGACGACGAGAGAGGTGAAGAGTACCTCTTCAAGATTGTTATCATCGGTGATTCCGCCGTCGGCAAATCCAATCTCCTCACCCGCTACGCCCGTAACGAGTTCAATCCCAATTCCAAAGCCACCATCGGCGTCGAGTTCCAGACTCAGAGCATGCTCATCGACGGCAAAGAGGTCAAAGCTCAGATTTGGGATACCGCCGGCCAGGAACGCTTCCGTGCTGTTACATCTGCTTATTACCGCGGCGCCGTCGGAGCACTCGTCGTCTATGACATCACTCGCAGCTCCACTTTCGAAAACGTCGGTCGCTGGCTCGACGAGCTCAACAGTATGTGTTATCGATCTCCTATTCTGTGTTCCTCTCTTTGTTGCTGCTTTGTTCTGTGAGTGAGATCTGAGCGTTGATTTCGATTGGAGTAGGGATTTGGATTAGTTTGGTGTGGATTTTTAGGATTGAATCATTGCGATAGTGATGCTGCTGGTGCGAATATTTTAGATCTGAAGATTTAGTGAGATGATGACTTCATTAGACTTTGATTCAAAGTCAAGTCAAAATTATCTTATTCATTAGGTTCTCTGATAGATCATGATGAAGTGATGTAGTGATTGTTTCCAACTGTTACATTCTCTTCAAGTAGAATTTGTGATGAACATTCTATAAGAAATTAGCAATTAAAGGCATGTTTGCATCTATATATACTCTACCGAGCTTTCAAATTGTGGTAAGTTTGGTTTAGAACTAGTTCTGGCAATGATGATGAATCTTGGTGCAGCTCATTCTGATACAACAGTAGCTAAAATGCTTATTGGAAACAAGTGTGATCTCGAGAGCATAAGAGCAGTTAGCGTAGAGGAAGGCAAGAGCCTTGCAGAGTCTGAAGGTTTGTTTTTCATGGAGACATCAGCCTTGGATTCGACCAATGTAAAGACGGCTTTCGAGATGGTTATTCGTGAGATCTACAGCAACATTAGTCGGAAGCAATTAAACTCTGATTCTTACAAAGAAGAACTATCCGTGAATCGGGTTAGCTTGGTCAAGAACGACAACGAAGGAACAAAGACGTTCTCTTGCTGTTCGAGGTAACACCTTTGTACCGATTTCTCTTTGTCATGAGGATTGGTTTCGGGTTGAAACTTATAGAAAGACATAGACATTATTTAAGCTCTCAAAAGAAGAAGAATTTTTGAGTTTCTTTGTTATAGATACAGAAGAAATATGAGCAAAATTGGATAAGAAGTTTGGTCAGTGTATAAGTTGTGTACTCATTTATACTTCCTACTTGTAACTTTTGTAAACTTGCGAGTGTTAAGTCAATTTTTATATTTTCCAGTTGCTCTTTATCTTACTTTTTGATTTTAACGCTGTCAAGATATTCATTGCATCCACTAGTTGAATCAGTATACTAGAAATTGGAATTAATTTTGATTCTATTAATTTTATAAAATAACAGAGTTAAATAGTAATTTGAGATAAATTATATTATAAAAGTTAAATTTTGCAATTAGCATCACAAAAGTGATGTTTTTAGAATCGCACTTTGCTATGAAACAGTATAGTAAAAGATGTTTAAAGTAACAATCATGTTTATGTCACTTCACCATGTTAATACGCGTTTGGTATTCAACAATGGTTTCGTCTCTGTCTTATTCACATTTGACATTCTAAGAATCATAGAAAGTGTCTTGCGCTTTCTTCATACGTTAGTTAATTAGTATGAACAGTTTGTAATTTAGACTTAATAATGATGATTACTAGGTTGGAACTGAACAAAAAAAAGTCAGCCTTGGATTTAATGGGTTCATACCCACAAATTTAGCAAAGGATACAAAAACAAACAAACAAAGAAACATGTTTATTTTCATTTTATAATCGTCCAATTAGAAACACACATGAAATAAAAATAGAGTAGAAAATAATAAAATAGAGATCAACTTATTAGGTGTCTCTTATTGTGACATCCAATACTTAGCCATCTCGAAACCATTCTTACCATAGTGATAATCTTCAATGGTCATATCAATCTCAGCTTGAGTATTCATCACGAAAGGACCGTATTGAACCACCGGTTCACCAATTGGTTCTCCAGCTATCAACACAAACCTCAGTTTCTTCGAAGATGACTTGTTCCACGCGCTAACACCATCATTCCCTGGTCCGAAGACCACAACGCTGTGTGCTGAAACAGGGGAAGCGTTCGAGGACCCGAAAACGCAGCCGCCTTCACCGCTTTCAAGAACGTAAGCAAAGGCGTTCCAAGATTCAGGAACGTTCTGGTGGATATGAGCTCCTGGTTGGAGAGTAAAATCAAGAAACATAGTAGGTGTTCTCGTGTAAACAGGGGATTGAACTCCCATTGATTCTCCTGCTATGACTTTGACTTCAACACCGTTTGCTTCAGCGCTTGGTATGTCTGAATGCGACAGTTCTTGGTAGTTTGGTTCTATCCTGTCGAAACCAAAGTCAATTAAAAGAATCAGATTCCGGTTAAGAAACTCTCAATAAATATGTAAGAATAAGCGAGTTGGTTTTAAAATTTACATTTTCTCGTTGGAGGAAAGATTGATCCAGAGTTGTAAACCTGTGTTAACTTCCTCTTCAGGCATTTCAGAATGAATGATTCCTCTTCCTGCAGTCATCCACTGTACATAAAAAAACAAGTCCAGAAGCTTTTTATTAAGTATCTAAAAATCGTTAAATTATAGAATCATTTTAAAAGTCTTTTAAAATACCTGAACATCACCAGCATAGATTGTACCCTTATGGCCTTTGAAGTCTTGGTGAGTGATTCCTCCCTAAACCAAAAAGTTTACATTCGAATAAGATAACATTTTAAAAACGTTTTAGAAAAAAGATTCATTATCACCAAATTTATTTTTTCTAATTACCTCAAGTACGTATGTAACAGTTTCAAAACCTGTTGATCATAATTTCCACAAAATTGTTAGAGAGAGAGAGAGAGAGACATTACATTAGATAACCTAAAATGGTATTTAATATATAATCTATGAATGTAATGTGATATTTGACCTCTGTGAGGATGATCAGGGAATCCAGCTGGAGGCGAAACTGCTCCAAAGAAAATAAAAGAGAAATTAGAGAATCATCATCAATAAAATAGTTGTTTCTTTAGTAGATAAATAATAAATCATTAAAAAAAACTGGCTGTTCTTTTCTAAAGCAAATTCAAGAATTATACCGGAGAATTCATCCAACATCAAGAACGGATCCAACAACTTCTGCTCACTCCTGAATTCATAAAAAAGAAAACATAAAATCTCTCAGACTTGAAGTTTCCTCAGAGATGGAAAAACAAAGAAAGAAGAAGAGAGAGTCTTATAAGCTATAAGGAACCTGGAAATGCCACGTCTAACGACGGCTCCATCGCCTTCTTTTTGAAGCTTAGCGAAGACTTTCTTGATGACAGGTCTTGATACGAAATCTTGAGAAGCAGAAGAAGAAGAAGAAGACATGGCTTTGACGTGTTTGGTAAACCTGAATGAAAACAATCCTCCAACAAGCGAATTTGCTCTGTTTATAGCAGCAGCTCTTCTCATATACTTTAATAAACAAGTCGTCGTCGTCTCTTTAATTTCTTGTCTTGTATAAAACGGATTTGGATGTGTGTTTTGGGGTATGTGATTCTTCTGTGTGTGGCTATTTATAGATGGGGAGAAAGAGGATGAAGACGCCTTTGAATGGTCAGTGGGGTCCTAAAATGGGGCTTCCAAAAAGCTTACACCGCCGCATTGTTTGGAACCAACACGGGATGCATTGTGTCATCCTCACGTCATTATGATCCAACCTTTTCTCATATATCTATTAGCGTTTTTATGTGTCCAATAATAAGCTTTTTCCACCAAACTTTAAGACTGAATTCAATCAAACATTCAGAATATAAGATATAATTTTAATATAATTTTGATGATTTTTAGTATATTTATGGAAAATTTTAATGATTTGTTATAAAATTCTCATAAATCTTACCTAAAACCATGAGAAATGAAATTTAATATTTTTTAACTAAGTAAATCCATTAAAATCTCTTAAAGTCAATAAAATCCAATCTCTTTAATGTTTCTAATTACAAGAGATTCTAAAATCATAGTGCAGTGACCTTAAACTTCATCAAACTTTTTAAAATTTATATTCAAATAACATAGGATTTGCTATGTTATTTTAACACAAGTATATAGTGTAATCACTAGTTTCGAATTTGAGTGTTGATATTCAACCAGTTTACGAAAATAAATATTCACAAGATTATAGTTCATTATATAAATGTCTAGTCTCTCTTCTTATTTCTTCGATCGAACACAAGATTATAGTTCATTATATACAAAGTTCAGTTTTAATTGTGGCCGATTCGGTTTGTTTGTAGAGTAGACTGATTAACTCAGTTATCTAATATGCAAAATAGAAAAGAAAATGTTTTATGAGATATAACCAGTTTAACTAAAAAGAGAGTGAAAAGTAAGTAACTAGACTTTAAGCTAAAAGAAAATAAGACGAAATTTTAAATAAATAAATTTTGCTTTTGGCCAATATGATATGAAAACTATCAGATAATCCCCAGTTTTAAAAGTTTATATTAAAAAAATAAGAAGGATAAAAACATCGAAGACCAGTTCAAAAGTAAAAGAGATTTAGCAGTAAACTAAGCCAGCGTGTAATTTAGGGAGGTGACACGTGGCACTTTTGCATACATAGACACATATGTAACCTTGACGTCATCCAAATGTATCGATACATCATCAACTGATAAAACCTATTATTATTATTATTGTCGTCGTATGAATTTAATTAAAGAACAAGAAAGGCAAGTAAAGGCGTTTCGCATTTTTCCTTTGGAAAATATCAGAAACACATAAATGGGGCATCATGCTAACGTCATAGAAATAAAAAGATGTCACTTTCTATTAAATATCAGATATAGGAATGAAATGATTTGGCCATCATCAGGATGATCGATCACTCTGTGTTCCTTTTTTCTATCAGAAACATATAAAGGATGAATTGAATTGTTTTTTTCTCTTTTTTTTTTTTTGTATTACATTTGTGGTAAAAGAATTTTATATAAAAAGATCAATATATATGACATCTAATCTTAAGTATTTTTTAATAGATTTGTCAAATCTTGCAATCAAAAGCATGGAAAATATTAGTGGTTATCATCATGCATTTCTCATCCCCCGATCGATCGTATATATATCTCAAATATAGTAGTATCATTTTGGTTACATGTCATAGCATACATTGTTCCTAAAACAAAAGAGATATGTAATCACTCAAATATCAAAGTACAATTTCGATGTCTAACTTCTCTCGGTATATTCCCACAGTACTCTTTACCTCATTTTGGAGAGCCTGCATGCATATGGATGACTTCCCTCCACGCCTCTGCAGTTTGAAGCCACACATCATGCTTGAAAATGAAAACTATCTGATCTAATAAATACATCCAAATCAAATATGTGACATACAATATGCCTAAGCAATACGTGTGCTATTTTGGGTTTTGTTTTTAATTTCTCCTTTGCTAAAATGAAAACTATATTTTATATAAAGATGGACCCCTTCTCAATATTTAATAAGACCATCCAATTATTACACACTTCCTTCATTTCTGTTTGCCAGTAGGCTACCTAATCATATGAACGATAAAAGTAATTATAACTTTTAAACTATGGATGATATACCTAGCTAATGAGAGATTTAGAGGTTCATCCTACACTATGTTTTAGAGTTCAAAACCACATTCTATATCGATTTATGAGGTTCGTATGTTTAATTTAGTTATTTGCTTGATAAGTGTCAATCTGATCATATTTATCTACAAACTTAAATCGTACTTTGCAACCATACACAAAATCTATACGACTACAAAAAAAATATGAGTTTATGAGGTGTAATATACAATATTAGTAACAACTTAAGGAAAAAGTGTTACTCTTTCGTCATCGTACCTTAAATATATCATATCAATAGACCCAAAAAAATTGATATGGAAAGATAAACCACTACACAACCATTTGACTAAAAATTCAGTGTGTTTATCAATCATTACGAAAAATAGGATTGAAAATAAAATACGCATTAAGTCGATCGTTCAGTTGACATATTCATCATATACTGTGTACTAGTGATTTCACAAGCAACACTAATCAAATAGAGGTATGCATGTACTGTAAACTAAAAAGCAATGAGAAATCTACATTATCTTAAAAGTGTGCTATAATGGGATCATCTTTCACAAAAACTAAAAAAAAGACACTAGCTAGTTTGAATGCTTCTTGTTTAATGGAAAGTTCTAAAGTCAAACATCTAGAAGCTCTCTTGGTTTGGGTGCTGTTTCCACTATTTTCTGCATTTGTGTGATCTTCTTTCCCCACCATCTATTGGACAAACCCACAATCCCAAAACACACAAACACACTTCCTCAGATATATATATAGGATATACTTTATTTAAAAATAGATAATATACTTTATTATTTATTAATGTTTTGACTTTGATAGGATTTTCTTTTCAGTGAATCTTACTAGTGCACTACTTTTAGGCCAAAAACACTCTAACACAATATTGCATTTCTCTCACAGAATCTCTAATGCGTCAATTATAAAATAAAAATCCAGACTTGATACAGTTATAAAATAACTGAAGAGTATAAAACGTATAGACAAAGGACTATAGGAAAATTGCAATAGAATAGCTTCGATGTTGAATTGGCGCATCAGCTCGATTTAAGGAAATTCATTTCCGGTTTATGGTTAAGCATTCTTTGGGAATTCTTGGAGGTGAGAAAACAGATGAGTAAGGATTTGTGTTGATAATTTTAAGAATTTGATACAACAATTAATAAACACTCAGTCATTTAGTTTTCTTCTTCTTTAGGTTTGGAGCTGGCTTCGGACCGTACATGCAGATACGAAGTCTTCCTTCTAAGACTCTCTGGTGGAAGCAGTTTTTATACAAATCCCAAAATTCATCTCTGCCAATCTCAAACAAAACAAAAAAAAATCAGAAACAAGCATTGACGTGTGTTAGATCAGAATAAGTAGTTTTGATGATGATGGACAATGGAACAGATTGTTTAAGAGTGGAGGAAACCAAACCTGACTTGAGGCAAAGTGAATAAGGAAAACCCTTTGACGTCTGTGTGCATGTCCAGCACAATCATATCTAGACGGGAAAGCCCTAATGCCTCTATATCAATTAGCTTTTTGATTCTGCACATAAAAGTAAAGAGGACAATCAGAAGCTATAGGGCAACAAGTATATGAACATACAAGTTACGAGACACTGATGCAATTTGATATAAGTCGAAGAAAGTGATAAGATTTACTAACCTACTTGGTGTGCCGCTCCCAATATTAACCCGTTTCTTCAACAGAGCTACCTGCACCACAGTGAACTTGAGTTAGAAATTTGTATAATTTATATAACAATGAGATTAAGATATCTAAAACAGAGTTAAGAACACAAACAATTTTTTTCTTAAAAACATTGCTTTTATATAAAAGTTTTTTTGAAGACAAAAGCAGATATCATTGATTCAGATTCCAACCAAAACAAGAGCTAGGATGTGAGATTCTTACGAGTCTTATATGCAGATCAAGAAACAAAAACAAGAGCTGGGATCAGACTGACGTGCAAATATTTTGTTCAGCATTTCATATGCCTATGAAATATCGATATATTTATCATCACTTCCCAGACTCTTAACATTGAAGAAATATAAAGAGAGGGAAGAATAACATGAGTATATGCATTAACGCTTAATGATGGATATATAATGGGATCAGACTGACGTGCAAATATGTTTGTTCAGCATTGCATGTGCCTATGACATACTGACATATCTTATCATCACTTCCCAAATCCTTCACATGAATTAAAGAAGAAAGAAATGAACTACATGAGTATGCACCTAACTCTTAATGTTACACATATATAACGGGATCAGACTGACGTGCAAATATGTTTGTTCAGCATTGCATGTGCCTATGACATACTGATATATCTTATCATCACTTCCCAATTCCTTTACATGAATTAAAGAAGAAAGAAATGAACTACATGAGTATGCACCGACTAAGCTCTTAGTGTTATACATATATAACAGGATCAGACTGACGTGCAAATACATTTTTATCTGCAGAGCAAATTGCCTTAGAGATTTCGTATTTTTTATCACATCCCACCGTTTCAGAGAAGCAAGAAACATGCAGCCCACACAACAAGAGAACCCAAACAAGATTCAGTAACGAAAAACTCGACATGGTAGTTTAAATTCGATCTCTTTTCTCTATATGCTTCGAATTAGGTCAACTTTTAAAAAGGAAAATCATTATAAGAATAGAACACTACCTGTTCCTCAACCTTCAAATGCTTTGAGAACAACTTCACTGCTGGACACTGCTTAGTAAGTGAATGCAAACCCCTACAGATATGAGACAGGGCATAGTCTAAGCACCTCTGTATTCAATCAAGTAATAGAACAATCAATAACATAGATACAAATACAAAAATATACCTTAGAAGTTCCAAAGATCTCAAAGCAGAGGAACAGATGACGAGAACAGATGGGTTTCCAGGATCAACATTTCCTTCAAGTGACTCTCCTTCACAAAGAGTCTCTCTCCATGAAGATCCACAAGACAACTTTATATGCTCTCCCAAGTTGCTTACATCTTGAGCCAATCTTTGAGATAACTCAACTACACACGTATCTGCAATCAGACAAAACAATCTACAATTTATAAGAACCCGGAGCATTAATAAGCCAAATCAATGATCAAAGCTCGTATATGGGATCTAAAACCCTAAACTCTTATGGTATATTACTAGTATCGATAGAGACAGAGCTGGATAAAACAAAGAACGAACCTTTAATGGAATCGAGCTCCAAAGAAGAAACCCGGATACTAACGGCGGACTCAAGCAGATTCAAAAAGTAGCTGAGCTGCTCAGAGGCAGTTACCGGTTCTGATATCAGCTCATCGTCGTTGTTCTCGCTTCTCTGTTCGTTCCTTCCACTCTTCTCAATGGTCTTATCAAAGGGGGGAGCTTTCGACTTCTTAGTCTTCTTCTTCTTCAAATCTTTCTTCGGACCCAGTGATGGATTTCGAATCTTTTTAGGTTTTTTATTGGCAGAGGGTTTTACCTCTGTGGTTGCCATGTTTTATCAGTGTATGCAGACAATGGAGAAGAAGAGCGGCGTTATAAAGAAGAGCCACACATTTAGGTTTAGCCCATGTTCTGTTTTTTCGAACCAAGTGCTTATCAACGGTTCTTTTATACCAGCTTGTTAAACCGACCAATTCCCATAAACCAAACAAAATTGGTCTAAATTACTAACAGGTTCCAATTGGTTTAGTAGAGTAAGAAATTATGCGATGTATATGAAGAAAGTTTTGATACAATTATATCAAATTAAAAATTTGTGTTCATAAGCATAGTTATCGTCACACAAGCGTAGTTATATGTTTACATATCTTGGAACATGTCGTCAGATTGGACTTTGATTTCTTATTCTTTTGATAACAATAAGAGCAGTATTACAAAACAAACAAACACGTTAAGAAAATAGAGAACTCTAAACACAGTAACACACATACTCGAATACGAAGACTTATGCATACATGATCCAACATAACATTATGATATGATTAAGTTAATGATGGAATCATTCCCATCAACCTCGCATAAGAAAAAATACCACCAGCGTCAATAACAGGTCCTGCATCACCGATGGACTTTAGATTATAGTTTTTCCCGGTTGTGTGATTAGTCAACAAACCACCAGTTTCAGTCAGCTCGATCGTCACCGTGTCTCCTGTCTTACACTCCTCACATACTCTAACCTCTGACTCTAGCGGAAACACCTCTCCCGTAGCCACTGAGTTACGGAAAAAGATCCTTGCGTAGGATTCAGCAACTATGGCTTTAGCTCCTGCTGCTCCGAGACAGACCGGAGCGTGTTCACGTGACGATCCGCAACCGAAGTTTTCTCCCCCGATTATGATCGAGTACTTTGATCTGTTCTCTCCTGGCTCAACGTACCTGGTTTTGTGGAAGTCTGGGAGACCGGAGAGAGCGTGAGCAGCTATCTCGTCACGCTCTTGCTGATTCGTTGGGAAGGTGCAAGCGGCTCCTGCTGGGATGATCTGGTCGGTGTCTATGTTGTCTTTCAAAACATAACAGAGACCGTGGAAGGTGGTGTTGGCTATGGCTTCGTTAGCGTCGGATCCTGCTGCGGCAGCACGTGGGATGATCGTCGTGTAGGATGTGCCACGTGAAGTGAGGGAGATAGAAGAGGGGTTGATGGAAGTGGAACCGTTGAACTTGAGGAAAGACGATCGGAAAGTAGCCAAAGAAGAAGAATGCTTGATTGATGAGGAAGGTAAGGCTTGGGGCAATGTAGCAAGAGAAGACGCCATTGTTTCTTTTGCTTTGTTGAGTGAGGGAGAGAGCTGACGATGGAACGAATATAAAAGGGAAATTGTTTGTACCCTTCTATTTACAAAAGTGCCATTTAGAATCCCAAACGTGCGTTTTGAGGCACTTGGGTAGGTCACGGTTAAACGAATAGTCTAGAAATGGATGCCCGAAAAGAAGATTTAATATTTCTAATTTTCTATCTAATGACAAAAATGTGCTACAATACTTGTTGTACTGTGTGAGAAAAGGAGAGCTCTTGTTCTGTTCTTATGAGTTACGACCGGAAGAATCTTATATTTAGTGGAAGAGATGAGAGAAAACGTCGTTTCAAATGGGAAACTATGCAGAGAAGAAACTGAAAGAAAACTAAACCAACAGTCATATATATTCATAAAGCATAAAATAGGTTCAAACATACATTTTATTGTTATTTTTTTATTGGATCACAGGATGGACGACCTTTGAAGAGACTTCTCATGCGCACGCATTGACCCCTGCAAAACAAATAGAACAAACATCCAATATGAGACAGAGGAGGGTCTTAGAGAAATCTCAATCATTAGACGAAGAAGAATGTTTTGTTCTACTTGGAAACTCTAGTCTGATGGATGTGAAGATGGAGGAAAATAAACAACCAAAAACTTAACTTCTACATATGTTAAGTTCAACACCCTAAATAATTGCAACCTATAGATGCTCAGGTTTTTGTACTTTCATGGAACCAATGGAAAGATGAAAGAAAAGGAAAAGTAAGTCTTAAGTGGATAAAGGAACAACATTTGAAACACTTTATAAGCGATTAAGTCCAGAAACAGTCATTATCATCTTCTCACACAAAACCAAAATCCCTACTACTGTGTTCTATTTCTCTATTAAAACACTATGTTCTGCATCATCAATGTCAGTCTCATTTCAAAATCAACTAAGAATCCAAATCTCATATACCACTTTTACTACATAACAGAGAATCATCATTACACTAGACATTGAGCGAATCATCACCATACTACCTAAAAATCGTTAGTGAATTGCTTATACTCGACTTGTGTCCTCTTTCTTCTATTCGAACACTAAGTTTTGCATCATCCGTGTCAACTTCTCATGTTATTCCCCATTTCGATATCATTCTAAAATCAACTAACAATCCTCATCTTCCACAAGACAATTACGAGCTTGGTTTAAAGATCATACCTGATGGCAAAATCAGGCAGCAGCAGAAGGAATCATCCCAGCTTTCCTAGCATAAGCAAATATGCCTCCAGCATCAATGACAGGTCCAGCATCACCAATAGGCTTCAGCTTATACTCTTTCCCCGTCGTATGATTGATCAGAATACTATCACCTTCCCTCAACTCAACCGTCGCAACATCCCCTGTTTTACACTCATCACAAACCCTAACTTCCGAATCCAGAGGATATACCTCACCCGTAGCCACAGAGTTCCTGAAAAAGATTCTAGCGTAAGACTGAGCCACCACTGCTTTAGCTCCCGCCGCACCAAGACAGACCGGAGCGTGTTCACGTGACGATCCACATCCGAAGTTTTCACCGCCGATGATGATCGAGTACTTCGTCTTCATCTCACCAGGCTCAACGAATCGCTCCTTGTAAGCAGCTGGGAGACCAATTAAAGCGTAGGAACCGAGTTTCTCGTACTCGTCTGGATTCGAAGGGACGAGAGTGAGAAACTCTGCGGGAATGATTTGGTCAGTGTCGATGTTATCACCGACGACGTAGCAAAGGCCGTGGAAGGTCTTTCTCTCTTGAGGCTCGGCGGCTGAGCGAGTGACGAAGGATGAGGATGCATTTCTCGAAACGAGGGGTTTGAAATCGGAAGCGACGGAGGTGGAATTGAATCTGAGAAATGGAGATCGGAAGGGAGCGAAAGAGGAAGAGTTGTTTGGAGAAGATAGGTTTCGGGACAATGTAGGGTTTCCAAATTGCAGAGAAGCCGCCATTGTTTGTTTCTCTTCTCTTTTGTCTTTGCTGTGGTCGAGATTGGTGAAGCCAGTCAACAAAAAGAATTGCGATTATAAATTGGTCTCCGTTTTTATTTACCAAATTGCCACTCTCCTTCGCTATTTTATTTTAGTGTAAGGAAATAAAAATAAATCAATAAAGAGTCCATGACTAATTAAAAAAAAATAAATTGTTTAAAAAAAAAAGAAAAAAGGCCTTTTCTTTTTTAAAGAGCAGAGGAGAGAGATCCCACGAAGAAACTCCTCTGACGTTTTTCTCCAAGACAAATCTCAAGCAGCTCCTCGCTTTTCCTTCTTCCTCCTCCAAACGACTGTTACTGATCTCTCTCTTTACCTCTCCCAAGTTTCCTTGGTTTTTTTGGTCGGAAATCGAGATCGGGGAGAGACATGGCTCCTGCCATGAAGATCGTGTTCGGTCTCTTGACATTTGTCACTGTCGGAATGATCATCGGTACTCTCTCTCTCTCTATTTATAGTCTTCTACATTTGAATTCTTCTTTCGATCTTCAAAGTTTATATTTTTATTTTTCTCACGGCCTAGTTGAAGTTGCTTGTCATTGCCGAGAGATTCTAGTACGAAACTGGGTTGTTTTTTTTTTTTGGGAGACGACTCTGAAATTGAACCTTCTCTTTGTTAATTCATGAAGATTGTGTTTTCTTTTTTTTTTGTCCTGAATTCTGCAGGTTCCTTGTTACAACTGGCCTTTATAAATAGATTGGAAGATTCGTACGGTACAAACTCTTTCCTTCACTCTCTTTTAATGTTTATGTCTGTTTTACTTGTGGATGTGTGTTTGGTCATAGAATTATGGATATATGGTGATTTTAGGTCTATTGTAAGGGATTGAGAGTAAGCACTACCATGCCACTGAATTTGCAGTACTGAATCAGGGATTTTCATTGTAGTTTATGTTTGAAACTATGAAGATTATTATCTTTTTGATTGTTGTAGTTTCCTTTGTTTTCTCAGTACCTTCTCCTTTCTTCTTTCTTATTCAGGAACTGGATTTCCATCCCTGAGAGGGCTTCGAGGCCAGAACGCCCGTTACCTACGAGGTTTGTGTGATCAAAATTATGTTTTTATATAATAGGTTTACACAACAGTTTCAATTATAACAATCTGAATCTTAGCTTTAGGATAAGACTCTTCTTGGAGAGCTTAATTCGTGGATATTTATGATACAGAATCGGTTTAACGTCAAGACTCGTTTGTTTTCAGATGTTTCCCGGTGGGCAAATGACAAAGATGCAGAATTGTTACGGCTTGGCAATGTAAGTCTTGTCATATCCATTTTGCAATTGTATTTTTTTTCTCTTGGCCAATGGTTGCCTCAGTGTTTCATTTATACTCCTTTGTACAGTTAAAGGAATGGTAGATGGAGAAGAAATCAAATCTTTTACATAGTTTTTACTGACACATTTCGTTAATATACTTAATCCTATGTCAAAATAAGAAAATTACACAAATTTTGTTTTGCTTCTGTAAAATAGAGGTCCCGCTCTGTTTGCTTCCAGCTAATGTTAATTTGCTTTAGTGCAGGTCAAGCCTGAAGTAGTCAGTTGGTCTCCTCGAATTATTGTGCTCCATGACTTTCTAAGTCCTGAGGTATACACACGCCCCATATATTAATGTTTGTTTTATTGAGTTAGCTGACTATAGAATTGTCTGTTCTCGCTGATGTTAGGCCTTAAGTTAGAGATACTTGTTCTTATCATCTCTATTTTAGCAAGGATAAGATCAGATTTCAAAAAAGAAACATCTTAGGCTCAGTTTTAAGCATTATCCTAAAAATTTAGCGAAAGAGTTCTTGGTAGTTTTTTGTCTTGCCAATAACATAATGTTTTTTTTTTGTTGCTTCCTGATTTGTATATCTGCAGGAATGTGAATACCTAAAAGCAATCGCCCGGCCTCGCCTTCAAATCTCCACTGTTGTTGATGTGAAAACCGGAAAGGTACTGCACATGACCTTTCTTTTTAAGAAGTAAAACTTCTATTACTTCCACTCTCTGCCTTGATTGTTCTATTGATTCAATCAAATTTTGGATATGAGTAGAAATGCTCTAGTTATGCCTTCAAAGTCTTCCCCATTTTCTTATCACTTTCTTCTTGCTTAGGGAGTCAAAAGTGATGTGAGGACAAGCTCCGGAATGTTTCTAACTCATGTAGAAAGAAGTTATCCAATAATACAGGTAGGTCACTCTCTGATATCTTTTAAAAAGTGTGCATTATAATCAACTTGACAGTTTTGTAAGTTAGATTCTTTTTCTTTTGCTATTATTAGGCAATTGAAAAGCGAATTGCTGTCTTTTCTCAAGTACCAGCGGAAAATGGAGAACTTATTCAAGTTCTAAGGTGCGTGCACAAGTGCAACCTTACTATGTTTTTATTATTTGAAGCAAATAAAGCTGTTTTCTTGATTTGATGAATCAAAATCTGCTGCAGTGCAGATACGAGCCGAAACAGTTTTACAGACCGCATCATGATTACTTTGCTGACACTGTAAGTCTTCTGTTCCGTTTCATACATATCACTGATAAGTGTTTAGTGTTTGGTTTTGCTCATTAATGTTTAGTTCGATCCTTATTTCATCTTCTAAGAACAATCAATTTGAAAAGTACGTTTATCAAGCGTGTTCATCATATATCCTCGTTTCTTGTCTTATGTTTACCACACAGTTCAATTTGAAGCGTGGTGGTCAGCGTGTAGCAACGATGCTTATGTATTTAACCGATGACGTCGAAGGAGGAGAAACTTATTTCCCTTTGGTATAGTTCTTCTTCTAGCAGATCTCTTTAGCTCTGCAAATTGTTTTAGTTAATACACAGTTGTTTTTTCTCTCTGTTCATGCAAATTAAAACACTGGATCTGTATTGAGAATGCAGGCTGGTGATGGTGAATGCACTTGTGGTGGCAAAATCATGAAAGGCATCTCTGTTAAACCAACCAAAGGAGACGCAGTTCTCTTCTGGAGCATGGTTTGTGTCTTCAATCTATCTCTCTTTTTTTTTTTTGTAATCTCAATCTATCTATCTCTCTTTCTACAAAAACATGAATCATATGGACTGCTTAGTGTTTAATTTCGTCTCCTGGATCATTCAGGGACTCGATGGACAGTCAGATCCAAGGAGTATACATGGAGGATGTGAAGTTCTGTCTGGGGAGAAATGGTCTGCTACAAAATGGATGAGGCAAAAAGCTACTTCTTGAAGAACTTTAGATTTATAAAAACAAAAAGGAACCACACAGGGACTTATATTGAAAAATGTCATAGAATCTCAGAGTTTTGTTTTACTCTATTTTTTTGACCCTTCAATTTTAAAACCTGTCATTTACATACATAATGGATATGAGGGTATTTAACATTTCAGCCACCCCAGCAAATCCTAAACTACTGTCAGTGTTACAAAAATTAACCAACAGATTGCTAAAACTTAAAATTATAGAGAATATTACTGGACTGGATCGGAGTACCATTAGATTAATAAAGATCGAAAGTAGAGATGAAGTGAAGCCATCTACAGTATTTTTCTTATCAAATAAAACAGAGAATAAATGGGAAAATGAAATACTAAAGTGGTGGAAGTAGAGAAACAGTGTTTGTCATATTTAAACGAAAACAATAATACATAAGTAACACTTTTACTGAAAATTATTCTTATACAAAATCTTTTATATACTTGTGAATATTTTATTAAATAATGTAAAATGTAAAATCTATTTCTACTTCTTTTAGTTACATCAAAATCTATTTAGTTCTCCATTTTACCTAAGAAACTGTTTGTTTTAAAACTTTAGATTATCAAGATATTATAATTTGAAACTTCTGGTTTAAAGACTAGAATGGTTGTTCACTTGTTCTATTGGCTGTTTGTGTGACACGTCAAATACATCGTGGGGATCTTAATTCTGCTCTAAATATTATTGAAGTAGTTTAGGTAGTAGCTGGAAATTCTATTTATTTTATTATTATCGATACTATACTATACAAATACATATAACTCGATACACTGATGACTAATCTATAATAGAGCAAAAAGAATTATTCAAGGAAAAGACTTAGGAGCAGTAAAGCAACAGTAATCTATACTATTAATTGGGAAGGACAACTTGAAGCCAAACAGACCCAATTTTAAAAAAAAAAATTTCATGAAATATACTTCAGTTGCCAAACAAAACTAATGACAGCAAAAATGTTTTAATAAATAAATAAATAATAAAAAACAGAAACTACCTATATTTATGGATCATACTAATTTTGTTGTCAAAAAAGTGGAAAATTAAATTCGAAAATCTCCATGTATATAACATATTTAACATTTTTAGATATTTTAAAACAATAATTTAATATTTAATAAAATCGAATCTATAGTATTTTTTATTTGGTTTAATGATTTTATTCAAGTGTTTATGTTATTTGTATTTTGTATAACTCTTATGATATGATATATATTTATTTTGCGTTACAAAAATCATCATATATATTTTTTTGTTTTATATTGATGTTTTAGGAAAAATAAAAGAAAAATAAATATGTTATATATTTTACAATAGCATAAAATATGGAGAAATATTCAACAAAATTGATATTATCTTTAAAAATTTTAAAAATGACAATGTCTTAAATAAATAATTAAAATGTTTAAATAAAAAAAAATCTTTAAAAAATCAATAATT